GAAGATTCAAGTACAGACAAATTTGGGAACAATTTGTAAAAGTCCAAGAATTTTGGATTATTAACAACATCCAGCCAGATTTTGCCATCTAATTATGTGTTATAAGGCAAAGCGTTTAGAAGTTGTCAGCGTTTGTGTGAGATTAGTGCGCCTTATGTACGGCCATATTATTTAGATTATTAAGAAAAAAAAAGTAATTTAAGATTTTTTATTTTAATTGTCGACCGCTTGCGTGCGGGGTAAATACGTCCAAACAAGCTTTGGAAGCTTCTCTTTCTTTCAGGGATCTTGGTTATTTCTTTCACGTATGTCGGCATAAATTTTTGTCATTGTCAATCAAATAATTGTGTCTTTATTGGAATCCATAGTGCTACTCGGAAAGTTTCATGTCAAGTTTTTCTATTCGTGTCCAAGAATTATGGTCGAGATAAGAGGATCACCACAATGGATATCTCTTTTATTTGACGAGATTCGAAAGAATGGCCAATTACAATTTTGCATGCGACATCACGATCCATTCGATGACATATTGAAATTGTCCGGTATCATTTCCGGTCAAACCGGAAATCGATGCAACTTTTGTTTTGATGTTTACAATATTCGATACGTTTGCTTTTACTAAGAGCATCGTTGACGAACTAAATATATTGAAAACTGTAGGAGTAGGCCTCAGATGCACGGACAGACAGACGAAAAGAGAAAGTGCCTGTAGTAGCGCATCCGTTGAAAAATCCCCTAAAAAATGGAGAAATTATTTATCCAATATTTAGAAAAATAATGAAATCCAGCATGCAATGTGCTGTCAGGATGCGGGCTTGTGTTATGTCGAACCGGAAGTGACAGCAGAAACTGAATATACGATCGGATAGCGACATATCGTAACGTCACATATAAAATTATATTTGAAACATTTTCCGTACCTCGCCAAATAGAAGCGACATATTGAGGTGACCTTCTTATCTCGAACACGCTGTAGGCGACATAGAAAGATTAGAATAATTACACAAATTCAAAAATCTAATAAAAGCAGAACTTTAAAAAAGAGAATCGATAACTCAGACAAATTCGAAGAATTCATAAAAGTTAAAAGGTTTGCGAAAAATAAAAAAAAATAAAAAAATTCAAAATTTCAAGAATTTATTAGAAAACTGAAGAATAACAAACCAGAGCACAACTTCAAAATTCAGGGAAATTCCAAGAAATTTAGCAGGTTCAGAAAAATTGCATAATTTCAAAAGAAAATTGGAAAAATGTTGAAAAAATGTTAAATATATAAAAATCCAAAAATTTAGAAAAAACTGCATTTAAAAAAACCGGAAAATGTAGAAAACATTCCAAACATTTAAAAATGCAGGAATATAAAGATCTTGGAAAATTAGGAAATTTTAGACAGATTCGGTAACACTTGGGGAACAGAAAAATTCACTAATTGGTAAGTTTTTGTAATTTTCATGAAAATTGGAAACATTCACAATTTTAAAAAAGCAAAAACAAAAAGGGAAGTTCCTGGGAATGTGAATAAAAATTCCACTATACAAACTATTGCGTCCCCAAAGTCAAATTTTTACTTTGAAATTCCTTCAAATAAATTATCCTTAGCATGCTCTGTGCATAACTTTTTCGCGCGTCCCTGTATGTATTCCCATTTGATACGTGCGGTGCGTGAGCCGTCGAAGTTAAGAATAAACACGAATTGCATGTGCGCACAAATCAAACAACAATCGAAAAGGAGATCGTCAACAATGAACGTGGCTGTTAAAACGCACCATGTCATTTAAATTGTACAGGGTGGCCAACTAAGAATGCGAGGTACTGTATCTGGGAACCTGTCCATCGTAGAGGCTTGCGGTAAAAAAATTTATTACTAAAACGGCCACGAGCAAAACCTGGAAAATATTTTTAAGTTTCTGAAATGACCGCTAGAGGGCGTAACTGCAATCTGGAATCTAAAAAAGTGATGTTTCTGTGAATTCCGCTAAAGAAGACCCTGTATCTTCGAAACGGCTGAGCCGACTTAAACATTTTAGTTCAAAAGAGCTATTCTTCAGCTACAAATATTATACTATTTGAAGTTTTGTTAGTTTCACATATCACCGCTTGAGGGCTTTTTTCGACATTCCGACAGAAATGGTTAATTTTTTCAAAAAGATTAAATGCATTGGTGCGATTTTTTTTTATGAAAAAGTAGCTAAATGGTGCCTAAACAAGATCGCGAAAACTCCATCTCGATATCTTGAGATTTACGGCGGCATTCCTTCCTTCCTTTTTTAAATCGACCCACCTTAGGGCCACAAATTATATAATAAAAATAATTCCGGAAAAATTAGCTTAAAAAAATTAAATTTTGTGGGTATAAAATTTTCTTTGGCCTAAATTTTAGGTTAGGAACAAGATATCGAGATGCGGTTTTCGCGAGCTTGTTTAGGCATCATTTAGCTACTTTTTCATGAAAAAAAAATCAAACCAACGAATTAAATTTTTTTGAGAAAATTAACCATTTCTGTCGGAATGTCGAAAAAAAACCTCAAGCGGCGATATGTTAAACTAAAAAAACTTCAAATATTATAATATTTGTAGCCGAAGAATAACTCTGTTCAATTAAATCGAGTTTGTTAAAATCGGCTCAGTCGTTTCGAAGATACAGGGTGTTCTTTACGGAAACCTTTGAATACCCCCCACCACTTCATTTTTAGAGATACAGGAAAAATTGTCAAATAAAAAAGGTTCGGATTATCGTCATCTTCAAAGACCGGACATTTTTTTGTTAGGTTAATAGCGCGAAATTCACAGATAATCACTTTTTTAGATTCCAGATTGCAGTTACGCCCCCTAGCAGCTATTTCAAAAACTTAAAAATATTTTCCAGGTTTTTCTCGTGGCCGTTTTAGTAATAAATTTTTTTACCGCAAGCCTCTACGATGGACAGGTTCCCAGATACAGTACCTCGCATTCTTATTTGGCAACCCTGTACAAATGCACAAATGCAAAAAATAGTAAATTCAAACATTTAGAGTTCAAAAAATTACATAGGTGAGCAGCATATAAATTAAAGAAAATTTAAAAAAACAGAAACCATACACGAGATCTAACAGTTCTGCAAACATTAAGTATAATAAAAAGAAAGTTGTAAAAATTCACGAAATCTAGAAAAACTACGAAAAATTAGACTAATTCAGAAAAAAATTCAAAAAAATGAATTTAAAAAATCAAGAAATTCAAAACAATTCAGAAAAATCAGAAACGGAAAACATAAAACGTAAAAAATCAAAAAATCCAAGATTTAAGAACGATTACTAAAGCTCAAGTGAGAATTTGAAAAAATATTAAAAAGTTTAGATAATGTAAAAAATACACAACAGTTCAAAAATTTAAAAAAAAATCAGAATAATTAAAAGAAAATCGTAAAATGCAATGTGAAAATGTTTAAAACATGTTATAAATAGAAGATTTTGAAAAATTCGATTAAAAAACAAAGAATATGCCAAAATCACAACACATAGTATAAAACTCAAAAAAACTACAGAATACCTATCACAATCAGACAATAGGGTACAATTGAAGTATACGGTATAGTATCAGTGTGCTAGATAAGGATGCCTATCATGGGTATCTCGTGCTGTAAAGAAAACCAAAACATTCCGATTAGGTACTTCCGAAGATATGCGAAAAAAACCGAAATTTGCCGATTTTTTCCGATCTAATTTTAACAGATAAAATAAAAAGGGGGGCTTTACTGGTTAACGAGTTTATAACTGCGTAATCCTTTAGAAAAATTCTTTGTGTAAATCCACCTTAAATTCCATTAACTTTGTATGTTTGCATAATACCTTACATAACGGACACTCTGTAGCTCAAGTACGAGTAATTAATTACTGGGAGCCGAGAATAGGATTTTTCTTAATTGACGTCGCTTTGGGACTAAATTCATTTCGTAGGTGCCCACAAAGGAAATTAGTTCGAAAGTTGTAATCCGTGTTTTCGGATACTTTACGTAATACATCGGTTAAGGATAATCAGACATAATTAATTGTTTTTTATCAGTTTGAGCCGAGGAATGGAGATCCATTCAAGATTTTAATTAAAGAACCTCGCCTCCCCCCCCGTTTCATTATTCTAGCGCCTTCCAACATTCGTTTTGGAAAGATGATCCCACTTAATTTCTAGGGAATGTAATCAGTGCTGACGAATTCGATTTTTTTTCACGGAAAAGAAACAAATGTCATCGTTTTGCATTTCGGTTTAAGAATCTCAATATATTTTGATTATAAACCAATTTGACTAAATTGTCCCTTTCTTTTTCCGCCTGCGAAGAAGTTCTCTTCAAATTCAATTTTAATGGCCTCGCGTTTGAATATTCAAATTCGGGCGTTAATTTAATTATGATACTTTTTGCGCGAACCCGTCCGCCCCCTTTTTAATGGAAATTCGCATCGGAAAATATGAATTCGATTCGCCTTTTCGAGTGCATCATACACTTTTCATAACTTCCCAACGACAAAAACACCGAAGTCTAATAAATCACGCATTCGGCAATCGGCAAAAAAAAGCAAGCCGATTAATCATTCACAATTTCTGCGCCGGAAAAGGCCGGCGCGCAACAAAATTGTTAACTTTCCTTATACTTAAATTATTTAGATATCCTCCATATATTCTCCCAACAATAAAGTGAAGGATAAAAGTAATAAATAAGGCACTAAAAATCCTTTATCTTCTAAACGTGCCCGGAGAGGTGATCGTGGCTTGTTTTCCTTCGCCTGACGGGGGAGCTTTTTTTTTTTTGACTAATTGACACCACGCGCGATGCATTTTTATGAGTGCATTATAAATAGCTCAAAAGTGGTTAGACGGAGGAATGTCACAGTCTAATTTGCATAATAAAAGCCGTGGAGTAGATACATTGTCACAGCACGAAATGAGATTTATTTATACGCGCCGAGTTAACGTCCCCAAAAAAATCTCAGCCGCAAAAGGTCAAAGACTGCGAATTTTTTTCCACCTACCTCCACAGGCCTGCTTGAAGTCGTCGCAGCAGTCGCCGAGCTTCAGGCATGCATGGTCGCAGTAGCAGGGCTTGTCGCTGAGGTCCTCGATGATCGCGTTTATCGGCGCCTTTTGGACAACGCAAGAGGAGTCCCGACCCGGACAACACAATTTCGCCTCCTTACAGCTGCCACATTCCACACATCTTTGAGTCAGTAATGCGACCAGAACGCCCGACACCGCCAGGAGCCACATAATTGTACTGTGCCGTCGAGGAAGCACGCGCGCGAGTGTCTTGCAGAGGCCTGTGCGAGAAGGGCACCCCGTTGAGAGTCGCTGTCGAACAACGAGTGCGCCGTCAAGCAACTTTTCAGGTTTAGTTTTCTGTGGAGGGAGAACATCCCCTACTCATTTTCTAAAGTATATACGCGATATAAATACGGACGTTGACTATTTTAATCCCCGACCCGATCAATCCGTTCCGATCTACCTAATCATTGCACCCTCTAAAAGATTAGCGTGAAATCTCAACAGGTGGCCGGAGAGTTCTGTGCGTTGTACGGGTGAATTATTCAATGTACATGAAACGCGGGTGCTTGGGGTCATTGAGGGTTTAAAAGAGATAACGCTGCCTGGGACGGCTAAATCGGTCGCGAAGCTGGTGGTAATTCCAAAATAAGTCTACGAGGAGTTATTTATTGCTCGTCTCATTTGTTCTTGCGTTAGAGTGACTGGAAATTAACGTTTTGACGTTAACCAAAATTTAAGTAATAAATTCTGGAACCAATTTGCACTTTAATTAATTATTCGGTCATTAGAAATTTAAATTTGTTTCCATCGCCGGTTTCGCGATACAAAAACTCTAGAGGAGCACTTGCAGAATGCCCACGAAACTAATTGAAATAACCAATAGATGATAGATTTGAGCACAGGACAAATTTCGGATCTCGGGTCAGTTTGAATCGGACCGGCCATAATCAAAAGTTGCATTTGCATACTTATCACTTCGACATCTATGTTAAGACTGAAACTGAACACAATCCAATTTGCTTATATAGTTGCGACATTTATTCGGTAACTTCCTGTAGTAGATTTGTTATTACAATAGTTCTTTATTTTCGCGTTATAGGTTTCTTTCGCCTAGTTCTTTGTTTCGACGAAGGAGGTCGTGCAAATGTCTTCGATTCTATCCCAGTTGTGATGCATCCAAGTCGACAGCTCCCGCGCTAACGAAAGAGGGAAAAACACGAACTCGAAACACCAGCGTAGTAATACAAACCTCGCACTCAACAATGGCCGGAGGCCCTACGTTTGTGAAAGATCAGATTGCATTCACTCACTCCGCCGTACCGTCACCAATACGGCATGTATCTATAGGTCCTGGATACGGTAACCTTAGACTAAAGTTGTAGTTCGAGATAAATGCCGCTAAGTATCTTTATCACTTCGGCATATATCTCTGCAAAGGTGAAAAAGTTAATTATGCTCAAAAAAGGCAAATTCGTACACAAAGAATTGAAGTCGCTAATCAATCCAAATGAGTTAAAACAATGAAATGAAAATTAATAAGTGGTCAATCAGGGTCAATCTCAAACAAATCAAAACAGGAATCACGTTTACATTGCAAGCAAATAACAAATTCAAGAATCACTTTACCCTGCATTACAAACAGCTGAAGGCGACATAATTCAATATAAATATAAATATAATGGTAAAACGCAACTCAAGGTCACGGCCTTTTTTGAGGTAACTCAAGTTTCTCAACGGAATCAAGTAGTCCGTGAAAAGTTGAGGTGACATTAATTTGATTGATACACTCCTTCGCCCTTAAATTTGCAAATAAACGCCTAAATCATGCACCGATGACGTCACCAGTGAAGCGTATTTTGGCGATTTTGAATTAAATAGGGCGCGGGCACGTCCGTGAGGGGTCTTAAACTTTCTAAAATTTCCATCCGCATGTGTTAGAAGACTTTTGTCGCCACGAAAAGGCGTATTTTCCTTAATAAAATGAAGATTTTCCGCCATTTAAAAAAAAACTAAACGTCAAACTGATGGACGAGTCTATTTCAAGATAAACAAAGGGGTGTCCTAGGTCGGGACTTTATTTTAAGGAAAATTAATACAAATATGAAAAATTTAACACGAAATTGTCTTTAGGTTTGGTAAAAATCATCAAAGATGCTTTTTAACGCCAAGAATATAGCAACATACGACCTAAGTATATTGTCGAGGTTTAATGTCAGGCCCTCCCTTTAAACTCGCCATCCACGGTGGCAAACGACGTTTACCAAAGGCCAAAACACACTACACTTTTTTGCACACCAATTCCGAGCGGGCCGAAGGCGATTTCGGTAAAGCTCGGGCCCTCCCTTAGACTCACCTCTCTACGTTCACGGTGGCAAACGACGTTTACCAAAGACCAAAGACACACTACACTTTTTTGTACACCAATGCCGAGCGAGCCGAAGGCGAGTTCGGCATAGCTCGGGCCCTCCCTCCGACTCACCTCCCTACGTCCACGGTGGCAAACGACGTTTACCAAAGATCAAAGACACACTACACTTTTTTGCACACCAATGCCGAGCGAGCCGAAGGCGAGTTCGGCAGAGCTCGGGCCCTCCCTCACACTCGCCTCTCTACGTCCACGGTGGCAAACGACGTTTACCAAAGATCAAAGACACTACACTTTTTTGTACACCAATGCCGAGCGAGCCGAAGGCGATTTCAGCAAAGCTCGGGCCCTCTCTTAGACTCACCTCTCTACGTTCACGGTGGCAAACGACGTTTACCAAAGACCAAAGACACACTACACTTTTTTGTACACCAATGCCGAGCGAGCCGAAGGCGATTTCAGCAAAGCTCGGGCCCTCTCTTAGACTCGCCTCTCTACGTCCACGGTGGCAAACGACGTTTACCAAAGATCAAAGACACACTACACTTTTTTGCACACCAATGCCGAGCGAGCCGAAGGGCTCTCCGGTACACTCGCTCCTCAACGTCGATTAACCAACCGCCGTCCCGAATATCGGGGTTGATAAACGTCAAGGTCACGTTCTAAAAGTTGACTACCTCAAGATTTTTTGACGAGATTTTGACAGCTGTCAAAAAGTTGAGGTGACAGTGCCTGTAACCATGGTCTTATCCTCATTTTTCGATTGACATAGGTACTCCTTCACCCTCAAAATCGCAAAAAAAAACCCAGGCGCCAATGACGTCATCGGTGAGTCGTTTTTTGACGATTTTGAAGTAAATAGGGTGCGGAAAGGTTCCGCGAGAGGTCTTAAAATTTCCGAGCGAGCCGAAGGCGATTTCAGCAAAGCTCGGGCCCTCTCTTAGACTCACCTCTCTACGTTCACGGTGGCAAACGACGTTTACCAAAGACCAAAGACACACTACACTTTTTTGTACACCAATGCCGAGCGAGCCGAAGGCGAGTTCGGCATAGCTCGGGCCCTCCCTCCGACTCACCTCCCTACGTCCACGGTGGCAAACGACGTTTACCAAAGATCAAAGACACACTACACTTTTTTGCACACCAATGCCGAGCGAGCCGAAGGCGAGTTCGGCAGAGCTCGGGCCCTCCCTCACACTCGCCTCTCTACGTCCACGGTGGCAAACGACGTTTACCAAAGATCAAAGACACTACACTTTTTTGTACACCAATGCCGAGCGAGCCGAAGGCGATTTCAGCAAAGCTCGGGCCCTCTCTTAGACTCGCCTCTCTACGCCACGGTGGCAAACGACGTTTACCAAAGACCAAAGACACACTACACTTTTTTGTACACCAATGCCGAGCGAGCCGAAGGCGATTTCAGCAAAGCTCGGGCCCTCTCTTAGACTCGCCTCTCTACGTCCACGGTGGCAAACGACGTTTACCAAAGATCAAAGACACACTACACTTTTTTGCACACCAATGCCGAGCGAGCTCTACCCACCATTTCCCTTCTATACAGACCAACATTATTTGAATTGCTGACATCGAAATTAATACATTTTGTTGAATAATAAACCCATTGTTTCCCATGCGAATACTTTCGAATGGTGTCTCTGTATATGCCAACGGTACTTGTCGTTTGAACGGTGTCTCGATCTACGCCAACGGTACTTCTTGTTTGGAATTTGAAATCGGACATCTCACAGTTTATGTTGCTCACGCGTCTTACTTTTCCCCTCGGTAAAGTTTCTGCTTTCGCATTGCTCACATGCAAATTTATCTTTGCGACGCCATTACTTTTCTTGACTTTCGTCATTTATTGTTTTGGCTTTCCATTTATCTTTGGATTGGTTTCCCTCTTTCTTTCCGTCTGTGGCTGTTGCTCCATTGAAGCGTTTTTACGGATCTGTATTTGCACATAAACAGTACGAGGTATTTTAGATCATTACGCGGTTTTCTGTTCTTAATACGTTTGTTTTTTAGGGCTTTACCTTCCGTCACAGTTTACCTTCTATTCTAGAGACCTAGATTTTCCCAAGGGTCCTGTTAAAAAGTCCCTAGACTGTCTGAGTCCTGTTGCTTGTTGTCACTCAGCCTGAAATTAACTGGGCAACCAGTTTTTAATCGAAGCCTAGCCCTGACGACGGAAGGAGCAATTCCTAGGGTCAGCACTCCAAATTTTACCTTCACTCAACCCTCAAGTCCTGTCTTCCCTCTCGTTTCCCCATAGTTTTCTTTTACATTCGCATCATTCTTTCTTTTGGATTACCTTTTACGTTATGACCTACTTGGATTTTACTTACCACATACGCAGTAAGTCAATGACTTCGCAATGTTACTTGAACCCGCCATTTTAGGCAAATTGACAGTAGCGAACGCATGCGATAGATGAGTTTCTACATTACCTGCTTGAAAATTCTACTAATTCTACCTGATGCTGCGTACTTTGCTTTTGTTGTTACCAAAGATTTGACTATACTGATATCGAGGTCATTGCTACGAATATTCATTTCTTACGTCTTACGTCTTTTGCTTTTATACCCGAATTTGTACGAGAAATACTTAGTCGAGTCAAAATGTTGCTTTTGCTAGTGTAAAGTCATTCGAATTTAAATTTTTTTGAGTATTCATTACAGATTTAGTAACCGATTGCCGAGTGTCAGAGGTCAAAAGCAATATTTTATCCGCGGGGCTATTCACTGCCCCTTTTATTTTGTTTGTTGTGTTGTTTTCTGTTACAGGAAAGGTTGAACACGCTCTTTTGAGCTCACAAGGTTGCGATCCGAAATTCAAAGGTAATTTTTTTTTAATTTTCGTGGACGCCTTTCCGTGTGCTGATCTCAGGGTAATTTTGTTACTTTTGCCCAAAGTGTTCGCCCATAGTACATAGCGTAAATTCCTACAAGTCTTATTCTCTCATAACGTAAGATTACCCTCATCCGTGTTACATCTGTATCTGACATTAGAGCCGCTGCTTGAACAGAAGCCCACGCCGAAGCTCCATTAACCCCGGCGCGCTCATCGGCGAAAGCTACCATTCTAAATGGCAAACAAACTGCTTCTAGAAGATTCTCGAGGATTGGCATATAATATTTCATAGAAAAAATTGATCACATCTACGTGTATACCTTATCGACAAGATGGCGCCCTGTTGATAACGTTCTAAAAAATACGCTACGCTACCCCCCTCCTAAAACTGTTGTGTACAAAATTTTATTCCAGCCGGTTCAGCGGTTTAGCAGGAAACAGACCGAGAGATAGGTCCCGGCCGACAGACAGACAGGCCGACAGATATACAGAAGACAAACAGAGATTTTGTTTGATTCGTATTCCTGATGCTTCAAAACGTGTATTTTCGTCAAAAAAGTGGGGAGGGGGGTTATCTTTACACACAATGCAATACGTCCCTTACTAACGTGAGGGTAGTAACAAAATAATACTCCTTTTGTGTGTGAATATTTCAACAGTAAGAACTAGGAAAACGTTATATGTACTGAACCGTTTTTGTTTTTCTTGAACGATTTGCTTTCATTTTATCGCTAGCCAACTGCAAACTATCGCAAACTTTATCACGTTCCCTGCAGTTTTTTCCTGACCGGGTTTTATAGAATCGTATGTCAATCTGAGTTCCCCGCCAAACAACACGCACTGTCTTGTGGTCCCTTGCACTACAGAACAGTTCCACATCAGGAATAAATGCAAGAATAAATCACGTTGGTGTTCGAACACAACTTTTGACAGGTACTTCCCTATTATCGTATTCATATGTTAATTTCCACTAACAGTGCCTTGAGGGCGTGCAATAGTGGATCTGGTCTTCGAATCTGCTGAAAAGCTACCAGAACGTGTGCCTGTTCGCTTGTTGAAATAATCATGTAAGAAAAATCGAAATGTTGTAAAATTCCTCCGTTAGATGTCACTGAATGTTGTCCTTTGAAATTAGATCCCTTTTTAGTGCTTCTCCTTGCCGCTATGAAAACACGATCTCGTATTTCACGAGAAATTGTTTCCTAGACCTTTACCAGAACACATAACCACACATTAATCCAGAATCGTATTCCGTGTATTCCACACCCGAGCATTTATTAATTATCCCCACAACTTTTCGTTTGTTTCATTATTCATTTCTCATCATCTGTTAATTTTTATTTAGTTTTGATTCGAACACGCAGTTCTACCAACCTTTGCAACTAAGCGTCCCTAGGTATTTTTTGTATATAAAATAGCCAAAGCGGATTTTAAAGTCCTGTGGTATTTTATGTGTGTTTACGCGACAGTTCACAGTGTTTTTTACTTTCGGAGCGAACCAATGAAATTACTTGAAGGGTATAATTGGTCCATCAAAGAATTGTAATGGACTTACCCTTTCAAGGGAGACAAAACGCGAACGTCGCCATCTAAACTTCGGGAAACTTTAAATCTCGTTTACTGAAATGCAATAACTACCAAATGCGATTAGCTAAGACCTTTCGTAATTGACGACCCTGTATAAAGTGTCCTTATGTCTGCTTGTCGCGCGCCAAACGTCAAATCCGTCACGGACAATGGAACGCTTGGTTCTTCCAATGCTAGGTCTCGCCTTCGGTTACGTTATGGTAAGATTGGAACACGTGTTACATCGTCTGGAAGACGAACGCGGGCTGGATAGCGATGACGAAGACGACCACGCCGAACTGCTCGTGGACGAACCTCTAGGCGAAGGTGACGGTTTGTTACCTTCCTCCAGCACACGGCGAGATATTAATAACTTTTCGTACCCGTAGCCGGTTTTAACATTGGAGAAATCGTACCAGTTTCGCCCACCAGATCGATCTGCAGAAGGAGACTGAACCTGAACGGGATGATGCACAGACGACGGTAACGTCCCTCGCGCGGTTACCGCGTTTAAATCTAAGATTTACACCGTAGGAGGACCACCAGCGAATCGCCCGTCAGAAGTAGAAGTCCTATTAAAAGGAGGCGTACAACCTACAGCTAAATCTGTGTATGTGCAAACGGTAAACGAATAAACTGATATTTGGCCGCATTCCATTTATCCGTAATTTTTACCGAACATTGCACTGTCCGCAGATTAATTCGACTGATGGGAATTGTGTAAACAGTCACAAATGCGTTTCTATTAGACGCTCGCTCGTAATTTAATCGCGTAAATGTCACCGAAACCAGAGGCCGCTACTTGCAACCCCACATTGCTGCGGTTTTGGCTACCAACCGCACACTTTTATTATTGCTAGTCCAATTGAAATGTCTGTTGGTGGCTTTGAGCGTGTTAGATTCGTGGTAAATTGAGTGCAATATGTCACATGCACATAATTATCCAACGAGAAATTGGTAAAGGAAGACGTTTCCAAGCGACAAAGGTTTGCTAGACAAAAAGTGGCACAAAAACCAACAAACCGCAATTATATATTAAAATATGAAACGCGTATTTATTCCAGTGTATGTTTGACTAACCGTTTATTTCGTGGAGGAAGTACATCATACAGTTCCGATCCTTCGCTGTATATGTTTCTCTCTCTCGCATCCGCTGCGGGACGGTGTGTGAGCAATATAGAACGGGGGTCTCTAATTACCTTTTTTTCTGTTTCGTATACTTTTCGTGTTAAATTATAAATAAATAAATAAATTTTACTTAATACCTCATTTATATTGTACGATTCGACATGTTGGATTTGTATATGTCTCTTGCATTTTGTTCTCAGTTGATTAATTTCTTGCTTTTGTGTGTTATACCAGTATTTTTTGCCCAAAGAAGGATTTCTCCTGGCGCCTTGTTGTGTGCGTAATATAATTCATTTAATCTTGTCTTTTCTTACGCAATCGTTCTCCTTATAGCTACTATACAGGGTGATTCCTATAGTACCTGCCACCGTTTGGGAGCGTGTAGGTGGTGCGTAGGGGAGTATTTTGATATAGGACACTTGGGGTCGAAAATCTAAAATAAGGGTGCCCGAGCCAAATTTACCTTCTGGAATTTCGCGCCTGTAGGTAGGCAACCCAACCGGCCGGCGGTGCACACGGAGCGATCTCAGGCGGCGATGTGTGGCTTGACACTTGATCAGAATTTTGTTTAAACCCAAATCTAAAATAAGGGTGCCAGAGCCAAATTTACCTTCTGGAATTTCGCGCCTGTAGGTAGGCAACCCAACCGGCCGGCGGTGCACACGGAGCGATCTCAGGCGGCGATGTGTGGCTGACACTTGATCAGAATTTTGTTTAAACCCAAATCTAAAATAAGGGTGCCAGAGCCAAATTTACCTTCTGGAATTTCGCGCCTGTAGGTAGGCAACCCAACCGGCCGGCGGTGCACACGGAGCGATCTCAGGCGGCGATGTGTGGCTGACACTTGATCAGAAACCCACGGGGGTTTAGACACAATTCTGATCAAGTGTCAGCCACACATCGCCGCCTGAGATCGCTCCGTGTGCACCGCCGGCCGGTTGGGTTGCCTACCTACAGGCGCGAAATTCCAGAAGGTAAATTTGGCTCTGGCACGCTTATTTTAGATTTCCGACCCCAAATCAAAATCCCGTCTGCAACGACGCGTATCAAGTGAATAAACACTATGGCAATAGTATAATAATAGTTGGCTAGATGTAGGAAGTGCATTGAGAACAACGGTGGCCACGTTGAACACTTGTAAACGTTATTGCTTTTGACTGTCGTTTTCCCTCCTTCCCTCCCATGTCGCTTCCTCGCGCTAACTCGCTCTGCATCGCTCCGCGCGAAACGTCGGTCGGTTGGGTTGCCTACATACAGGCGTGAAATTCCAGAAGATAAATTTGGTTCTGGCGCCCTTATTTTAGATTTCCGACCCCAAGTGTCCTATATCAAAATACTCCCCTAGGCACCCCCTATACGCTCCCAAACGGTGGCAGGTACTATAGGAATCACCCTGTATATACCACAGCTGACTCATCCGTAAGCTTATCCGCCATTTTGGAGTCCACTGACTGTTAACTCTTGCAAAACGTTGCATGTTTTGTCTTTTCTATTGATCTTTATTAATTCATATTAAACAGTTTTTCTGTGCCAAGATTTGAACTGCCAGTGGGCTGCAAAATGGCAGACAAGTCTGCTACCACAGAATACGGCCTTCTCAGAATAGAAACAGCAATGTTACAAATTTGTATGGTATTTTGGCGGACCCTGGTGGGTGTACTGTGAACTAAAGCATCAAAATCAGAGTAGCGCCATCTGGTGACCAGCTTCTAAATCCATGAAGTAATTTCCCCAATTCGATCTAAATCACAAATATAGATAAAGAATACACAGTTGTTAAATTGCAAGTGTATTTAGATACAATCACATTACATTATTTAACACAGACATCTTAAATTACATGTTTACAAATTACATATAAAACTCAGAAGTAAGTGCAACTTACGCTTTGTAGAAGTTAACACTTTGCAAAAAGATCCTTACGTAACGAGTTGTCCTACGAAATATTTGGTTTTAATTGCTGTTTGGATTACATATTTTTGTTAAAAAATATCTTTAGAACTAATTTTTTTGTTCCAAGAGGTGATAAAACCGTTTCAGCAAATTGTCACACAAGTTTTTGACAACAAATGTTAACTTGATCCTGGTGCTTACTGGTTACTTGAGAAGCGAGGGTGGAAGTTGTTGAATTATCTAAAACGAATTACAATATAAGTATCTACATCTATATAAATATAAAACTCAAGTCTACACCCTTTTGCGCCTATAGGTACAGTTGGTAATAATTCTGCGTCAATTTGTACCTGTTACTTACCTTGCATAAATAGGAAAGAAATAACAGCACATTTCAACCCTCTTCGCGTTTCAAGCACAAAACAATCTGTTTCAAAATGTGGGAAACGATGCCTTTTTGATATTTTATTGTTACAATCAGCCACACAACACTTTTTACGGTCACATAACTTGTTCATATTTTAAATCTTTCAAAAGTCAAAATTGACATGTGTAAAACCTGTGTACGTATAAAATCGACGGTAAAAATATTTCCTGTAGCGAGAAAAATTACAGGTTTTGCAAAAAAATATTTGAGTCTGCGATAAATAGTTCTCCGTACAACCACGGGAAACGCTGTAATCAGTGACAATTTAGCGCCATTTATGTTTCTGTTCTGTGAAGGTCTTATTCTGTGTCTGCTACTTTAATCGAGTTCTGTAGTTTTCCTCAATTCCCTTCCCGACTGTGTCTCACGTCTCAACACTTACAAACAGCCGACATAGCAGGAACCTATTCATACCATCCAGTCCGACTCGATTGCAACCCAGATTTGAAGGTGGTATGAAACGTCCATCCACATATAGAGATGAACTGCGCGTTTCAAAGCTAAGCGCGGATGCCGCAGGTGAGAGAGAAGAGTTGCTTAAGAAAGTAAATTTTTAAATCGTACGTCGTTCGTTTACGACGGAAAAGTTGGTTGCAGTTCTTTACGTTTCTGTTGATTCGGTTTTAAGAAGAGTGAGGTTATGTTTGTTACATTAACAGTATTCGCCTATTCGATCTTCACGGTGATAATCAGATAGCAAAGTGTTCTTACTTTCATACATTTTTATGTACTGAAGATCACGGTGGGACAGTACAAAATAAATGTAGGTTATGGCATTGTTGTATAGTATGCGTACGGACTTGTTGTTTGCAAAATAAAATTTTCACCTTGAAGAGTCACAGGGGTAGCAAAAACTGTAACCAAATGAGTTACGACACTCAACACCAGTGCCGAAACCTTGAAACCCCGAACGGGGGGCGAGCTAGCTATCCCGGGGGCGAGATTCTGCTAATAAAAACTTTTCGGTTTAGAATCTGTGTGTGATATATGAGTTGCGATTCACTGATTTCCACATATTTGGTCGTAACATTGAATTTACCTTACAAGGCCATTAATTTTTCGCCTTGCTCTTAGAAGAACTTTATTGCACCAAAGAGGAGTCGCACCCTGTGTATTTCACTCTTCTTCAGAATCTTGGTGCCTGCTTATTACCTGACCCATTGTTCAAAAAACTTGTTTTTAACCTATTTGTCACCCCTACATATTTTGTTGTTGTTATAATGTTACGTTATGCGTTCATATCATTACAAACAAATAATATTGCTATGCAATTTAGTTTTTTTTGTAAAGCCTAATTTTTTTCTTGTAATGTAATTTCGGCACTTTTGAATTTGGATGGCCCAATATTGATGGCACGAATGAACTCCTACGTTGTGTAATCGGTTCTTGTATGTGTTAGGACGTGAGACATAATCGGAAAGGGAATTAAATAAAAGACAGAACTTTTGTGCGTAAGAAATGACAAGAACATATAATTATATATTACGCACACCACAAGGCTATACCAGGGAAACCTTCTACGGGACAAAAACCCCGGCACAAGAACTGCAGCGCCCCACGAATAAGAAAGTAACAGATGCAACGAACAGTCAAACTGTATTAAGGCGGATCCACATTGGTAAATATTTGCGTTGTACGTTGAATTTGACACAAATTTGCTCGTGTGCGTAGAAATTCTTGTCAATGTGGACTGTATTTGTGTACGTTTTCGTGCCGCGCACAGTCCACATTGACAAAAATTTCGGCGCACACGAGCAAATTTGTGTCAAATTCAACACACAACGCAAATATTTACCAATGTGTATCCGCCTTTAGGTACTACTCTCACGGAATAGTTACTATGCAATCGATCAGAGCAACATAATCAACTCCTCGTGAATACAGAAATAAAAAACTAATAAAACAAAATAATGGCATAGTATAACAAATAATAAACAACGGTACTCAAAACAAAGGCATGAAGTACGCCATGATTGGATAGCGGTAGTTTATGCGAAATCAGCAAAATGTAAATAATATCATATATTGTGACAAGAAATTCAATGATTAATAGTTAGTACAAAAAAGAATAAAATGGTTACTACCTGTAAATACACCTTAAAACACCACAAACTAAATAATCAGGAAAACGTGATCAATCCATCGACCCCGTCACCATCTTCTTCATTCCGCCACCTTCTTTTTCCCCAAGCTTCGTTATGAAAATCCCCTAGTCCTCGACATCTGCGCAGAACCGTTGATTGGTTATATACAGAGCATATCATATTTTTGTTTCAGATGTAAAGGTGTGTTGCCTAACCATAAGGGTGGATTATCACACGTAAAACGTTAGACTCGCAATATTCGAAAACCAAACCGCACTAACGTGTAGCACTGACGATCGTATGTGCGTTACTTTAAAAACGAGTCATGGGTGGGGTCAACCTTTTTTTTCGTTTTTCTGGGAAAGGTAAAACATTACACTTGCAACATTCAAGCACTAACAGCACTAACAATCGTATGTGTGTCGAGTCATGGGTGGGGTCAACTTCACACAATATAGTTTGTGTTTCGTTTTTCTTGGAAAAATGAAATGCTGGAATCGCAATTTTTGAGCACAAAACAGCACTAATCTAGCACTAACAATCACTTGTGATTTCATCTAATTAAAAATGTATGAGCGGAGCTAACTTCACACTTGACTTTATTAGGAACAGCGAAACAATTTGAGATACTGTTTGTCTGGCACTTAACAGCACTAATATAGCACTAACGCCGCCGAGTGCGTTCGTTATCTCGATGAAAAAAAGTTGAGTGTGAAGTTATCCCCGCCCCGGTTTTTTTTATTTTTCTCATATTATATAGCAGCACTAACGATAAACTTCGAGCACTAACCGTTGAGACATTTTTGTCAAATTATTTCATGTGGGCGAAGCCAACTTCACGTGGGTCTTATTTTGCGCATGTCTACGGATAAAAAATAAAAAGAGAAAACCTTGCATTAAAAGGTCAAGGGACGGAAATCGATTAAAAGGAAGTTATAAGAGTGGGGGGAAACACGTCATCATTGGCTGTGGCGTAATAAAACAAAACTGGCGTCGTCTCTTCTGTTTTATGATAAGTCAAGTTTTCTCACATAACTGACCGCACCTTGGAAATAATATGATAGCGACTTCCGCCGCGTGCTATGCTATTTCCCACCACCGTTATATTCTCACCTCTGAGAGGTTCCACCCTGTATATACAACTTACGACGATACCACGAACTTATAAATTAAGATGAACTGCTAATGCTGAATTGACAAATGGCATGTGCACTCACTTGGCGCGAAATTCAAATCAACTAATAAACAAGCATTAACCTCACGTTTTCTAAATAAATTACTGTGACACATGTCAATTTCCCAGGCTGCAATAGTCTCAAAACTTGAGCACTAGGAAAATTCCTCAGGGCCATTTCTACCGCTATGCAACTGTTTGATCAGCAGTCCATCTTAATTTATAAGTTCGTGGACGATACATACACTTTTGAGAGTTGGCAACCATGCAATTTCTAGGTGGGAAAGGTGAGAAAAAGCTACCTGCGCCATCTAGAAAGTACGAACGGGGGTTACGTTTAGCATCCTGTCTTGAATGGCGGTCGTGAACACGTCGCTCCATAAATGTTTGTTGTTTGTTTAATATCACCATTAAACAGGAAAGGGCGCTGGCCAAATATTAGAGAAATAGTTAATTGGGAAAGAAAGTAGGATTAAGAAATAAAATTACATTGCATTATTTGTAAATGAGGACAATTTGCACACAACATTGACTAGGTTAGTTTTCAATTTGCAATTAACAGATTGCAATTAATTTGCCAATTGTTGTATAAAATTTTGTATATAAACAACGTAAAATGTAGAATAAATTACTATTGACACAAAAGTCGTTTAGTCACTCTACGTGAGCACGGGGCTTCCAAGTCTTTAAAATTCGGTGCATGAGACTGTGTACCACCCTGTGCTTACACTAAATAATATTGGGAGTAATCTCAATATTGTTCATGGTCCTTCGAGCCAACACCAGCGGCAGAAAATAAAAAGGTCCGTCAAGCCACCACCAGCGGCAGCAAAACCACTATTAGCAGTCAAGGATTTACGACCCTTGGACTTGAGCGAGAGGCACTGGGTAAGTGGAATTTTATTTTGACTAAAAAAGTCAAGGGAAACGGCGAAAAACAAAAGGATCCTACCTACTAACAAAAAGGCGATCAAGAGTCGCGTCGCTGATGCAGAAGAATGCCGGCGACAACAACTGGAGACTGATTCCTGTAGCAGGAAGGAGCAAACCATACAGCTTCAGTCCAACGTTAAGAGTCCGGGGGGACCCACGGATATCTGCGTGCGACAAACACAACGTTGCATTACAGAACAAGTTTTTGGAATTATTCGGGCCAGAACCAAATTTTCAGCATACGACACAACAACTACTACTAAAAAAAAAAAAGGGGGAAAAACGGTTCTGAAGTAAGAGGGGGTGTTGGTTTGGATTCTGTTTTAGTTACCAGAAGTTCAAATGGAGCAATTAAACGAACTCGCACGGAAACAACAGGAGATTGGTCAACAAATGTGTAAAATGTTAGCCAATATGAAGAAAGACTCAGCCTCCAGGAAAACCAGCGAATATATTGTGAAACATGACCGACAGCTAGAAGCTTATCAGGAAGGTATCGAAAAAAATCATAACGAAATTATCGAATTACAGATACAAAATCATGAGTATCACAGTACAAAGTACAGAGATCAGCTGCAAAAGGTCTACGACAACACGATAAATTATCTACAACAGTTACAGAATCAGCAGAAGAAGGAAGAGGATATTGAAGAAATGGATAACGAACAGGAGCTCCGAATAAAAAAACAGGAGGTTCGTCTAAAACAATTTAGAGGGATATTGTTTCAAATGGAAGAGGAAATAATGGAGCAGAACTTAAGACGCGCGAAACATTGCACCAAAGCAGAGAAGAAGTGGGAAGTAATATCAGAGCTTGAAGTGGACATTCAAGCAAACGAGGTGAGCTTCTCTCATGAGTATTTTAGAAAGGATCCAGTCACGAAAATGGAATTCGAATACGATAACATACAAGAAAAATTAAAAATGCTCACCAAAAAGGCAAGTATAAAGGCGACAAACAACATCGAGCTGCCCAAAATAAAAATACCAACGTTCCGAAGTGGATATGACAATTGGGCTCCCTTCCACGATTTGTTCGAGAAATTAATACATTCCAACGAGAAGTTATCGAACGCGGAGAAGATGCACTATCTGAAGGGGCATGTGGACGGAGAAGCAGCAAGACTTATACAGCATCTAATGATCTCGGAACAAAATTACGTAACAGCATGGAAGATCCTTCAAAACAGGTATAATAACAAAAGATTAATGGTAAATACGTTATTAGATAGAATCCTGGAATTCTCGAAAATGGAAACAGCGAAGGCATCTCGATTGAAATGGCTTCACGATACCATACATGAGTGTCTGGAGACAATATCAAATCTGGGAATGGATACATCGTCATGGGGTCCAATGGTAATTAGAATCACCACAAAGAAATGGGACTCAGAAACCAACAGGCTATTTGAGCAGTCACTAAAACAACCAAATGAAATCCCAGCATTAGGAGAAGTGATGCAGTTCATGCAGACGAGGTTCCAGTCCTTGGAGGCATCGGGGTCAATGCAGAGCAAGGATGCGAGTCCTAGGTACACCTGGGGAAACACGTCCACCATATCATGCCATTACTGCCAACAGGAGCATCGACTTGAACAATGCCTTAAGTTCAAGGGGCTATCAATCAACGACAGAAACAAGGAAGTAAGAGAAAGAAAAATATGTTTTAGGTGTTTAAAACACAACAGCGAGGAAAAATGCTACTCAGCGTACAGGTGTGCAGAATGCGGTTATCCACATCACACTTTACTTCACCAACCGTACAAACCAATAGCAGAGCGGGCAACACAAGCAAGCACAAGAACATCACACACTACAGTATCTAAAAGGAATTGTCAAACCCAAAAGGAAAACCAGGAAGTACTACTAGCAACAGCGATAGTACAAGCACAAGACCTCACTGGCGTACAGCAATTATTAAGAGTACTAGTGGACCCTGGATCACAAGCCTCGTTCATCACAGAAAAGGCAGCACAGCAGTTGAAGCTACCACGACAAAAAGCGAATGCAAGGGTATCAGGAATAGGTGGTTATGATCACACTAACGCAAAAACCAAGATAACGGTTCAATTACATCCAAGACAACCAAGTGAGTATGAGTTAACAACAGAACTAATCATTCTCACAAAGATAACCGAAAATCTACCACTGGCGTCGTTTGAGATGAACAAAGATCCATGGAAGAATGTGCTGTTAGCTGATCCCACGCTGAATAACTCCGGACCAATTGACATACTACTGGGTGCCGAGGAATACGCAAAGATCATACTACCGGGAGTCATGAAAGAAGGAAAATTAGTGGGTCAACAAACCGAATTTGGGTGGGTGATATCCGGGCAAACAAAGCACGGTGTCAACCAAGGCTATCAAATACTGGGCATGGTATCAACAATGGAAGAAGAGACACAACTATCCAAATACTGGGAAATAGAAGAAGCGACCATGGCTAATGGGTTCAATGAAGAAGACAAGAAGTGCGAAGACCACTATAAGGCAAACACTACACGCAGCCCCGATGGAAGATACACAGTCAAGATTCCATTCAAGAAGAATTCGATCAAATGGGGGCGATCCAGACCACTAGCAATAGCCAGGTTGTTGCAACTGGAGAAAAAACTAGCAGCAAACGACAAGATGCGTGAAGAATACAACGCGTTTCTACAAGAATACCTGGATTTGGGTCACATGGAAATGGTACAGGCACACTCAATCGAGGGCACACGCTATTACATACCACACCAACCAGTGATAAAGGAATCCAGTACTACAACGAAGATGAGAGTGGTGTTTGATGCATCAGCCAAAACGACGACCAGCGGAAGTTTAAATGAGATGATGTATGTGGGACCGAGGTTGCAGCCAGACATAGCCGATATATTACTAAGATGGAGAAAACATCAATATGCGTTCACAGCAGATATTAAAAAGATGTACCGCCAAATAAGGATACATCAAGACGATCGCCAGTTCCAGACTATAGTATGGAGATTCGAACGTAATCAGCCGATACGCGAATACCAGCTCAACACAGTAACATATGGAACAGCGGCAGCTCCATACTTAGCCATAAAGACACTACAACAGTTAGCAGAAGACGAAAAAGAAGAGTATCCATACGCAGCACGAGTCACGCTACAAGACTTCTATGTGGACGACATTTTATCTGGTGCTAACAGCATACCTCAAGTAGTACAATTGCAAAAAGAATTAACCAATATGCTAAAAAAAGGAGGGTTCCAGCTACATAAAAGGGCAGCCAATAAAGAAGAGATATTAACCACTATTCCCATGGAAGCTAGAGATCCTGCTGTAGCCGAGTTCAACAATGACGACCAGATCAAATCGTTGGGAATAAGATGGATACCAAACCAAGACATCTTTACGTTCAAATTCAAGGATGGCCAAGATAAACCAACCAAACGGAACATTTTGTCGGAAGTGGCCAAGATATTCGACCCTTTGGGTTGGCTGTCACCAATACTCCTAAATGCAAAACTACTCATACAAAGACTCTGGCTATCCAATACAGGCTGGGACGAAGAGGTGGCGGAATCAATCAAGATAGAATGGACAAACTTCAAAATCGATCTCAGTATGGTGGAATACTTACGGATACCTAGATGGATGCAGTACGATCAAGACCAAGAAAAAATAGAACTTCATGGGTTCTGTGATGCATCAGAAAAAGCGTATGGAGCAGTGGTGTACTCAAAAACAGGAAATGGGTGCATAAGTTTATTAATGTCAAAATCAAAAGTCGCCCCAGTACGAACCAGGCAAACGTTACCTAAATTGGAATTGTGTGCAGCAGTGCTACTAGCAAAGGTGCTAAAAAGAGTGACAGAAGCATTACAGATACCAAAAACAACAGTGTACGCGTGGACCGATTCCATGATCACACTCGCATGGATAAAAGGTGACGCAAACAAATGGAAAACCTTCGTGGGAAGTCGAGTGGCACAAATCACAAGCATGACCGCAAAAGAACAATGGAACCATGTGCGTACTAATGATAATCCTGCAGATCTGGTATCGCGAGGAACAACAACATCCAAATTAAAAAACAACACGTTATGGTGGAATGGACCCATATGGCTAAAAACAGATAAATGGAAACACAGTACAAGCGAATATCCTACAACAGAGGTAGAGAGCAAGAAAACTATGACAATAATAGTGAACAATAGGAACGAGCTAGCAGAAAGGTTTTCTTCACTAACACAACTAATTCGAGTGACAGCATACATCATTCGATTCATCAAGCATTGCAAAAAAATTACAGTAGCTGACGAACATTTAACAGTAGAAGAACTCAATACGGCATTAAAGAAACATATACAAGTAACACAACAGAATACATATCCAAGGGAAATACAAAAGTTAAGTAAGAAAGAACAAGTACACAAGGACAGCAAGTTAGAATCGCTCAATCCGTTTCAAGATGAAGACAGTTTACTTAGGGTAGGAGGGAGGTTACGCAATTCTTACTTATCATACAACGAAAAACATCCATACATTCTACCAGCAAACAGCCATCTAACACGACTACTGATTTTGGATGCACATCAAAAAACATTACATGGAGGTCTTCAAATAACATTAGCATATTTAAGAAGAAAATATTGGATTATCACCGGTAGAAGAACAGTTCGAGAAATCATCAACAAGTGCAATACATGCATAAGACATAAGGGACAAACATTACATCAAATAATGGGAGATCTGCCAGCATCCAGAATAACACCATCATCACCGTTCGAACATTGTGGAATTGACTATGCCGGTCCCATACAAGTAAGAGCATGGAAAGGCAGAGGCCATAAATCATACAAAGGATACATTGCAGTGTTTGTATGTCTAGCAACAAGAGCGATTCATTTAGAAGTTGTTAGTGACATAACATCGGAAACATTCATCGCGGCTTTCAGAAGATTTTCAGCAAGACGCGGTGGTTGCCAACACATATACAGCGACAACGGCACCAACTTCGTCGGAGCCAGCAATATGATACAGCAAGAAATTCAACAAATAGTACACAGTAGAGAAGTGCAAGAAACATCGGTGTCAACGGGAACTCAATGGCATTTCATTCCACCAGCAAGTCCACATATGGGAGGAATTTGGGAAAGTGGAGTTAAGTCCTTAAAACACCATTTAAGAAGAGTAATTGGGGAATCAACACTTACATATGAAGAATTAACTACATTAACTCATCAAATCGAAGCGTGCTTAAATTCAAGACCAATAGGAAAGTCCAACAGTGATGTAGTAGACGGAGGTACAACACTAACACCCGGTCACTTTCTAATAGGAAAACCAATAATAGAACCATTCGCGAAATCATCAGGTACAATAGAACTCAACTTAAGCAACAGATGGAAAATGGTACAAAACATGAAGAAACAATTCTGGAAAGCATGGACGACGGATTATTTGCATAATTTACAACAACGCTATAAATGGAAAACAAAAGAAGACAATCCAAAGATAAATGATGTATAGTACTCATCAAAGAGGACAACTTGAGTCCAGGGAAATGGCCACTTGCAAAAATCAAAGAATTACATCCATCAGAAGACGGCACTGTACGCATTGTTACCATCCAGAAGGCAGATGGGAAAGCATCAAAAAGGAGTATTCATCAACTAATACCAATCACGACAGAAGAAGGTAACACCGCAGAAAAAAATCAAACAGCAACATCACAACAACACGCATATGGATGCAATCTGAAAACATTCGTTATAAGCATACTAATGCTATTGGTCACAGTAACAGCAGAATACAATATTACATATCCAAAGCCAGGTTTCTACATTGAACACATGGGAGAAGTTCAAATTGAAAGAGGTATATTCCGAATCGATCTACAATACAACAAATCACGAATCAAAGAGGATATAAACGCAGCATTTCTAACGACTAGTAATTTCAAAGAGTTGTGCAAGAACGCAACAGAAATGACAGAAAACGTACAATGTACAGAATTGGTGCAACATATCGAGGATCAAGAAAATCAATTGAGATGGGTACAAGAGGGAATCAACTACATAAGTCAAACTCGTAAAAAAAGAGGTATCTTGGGGAATATATTAACGGCGATATTCGGTGTGAATGACGAAGTATACAAGGACATTGATGCGTTAAACAAGAATCAGCAAGAGTTAATGCGGAATTCAGAAAGACAATCCAAAATAATGTTGTCTACTATATCAAAATTTAAAGAGACAGAAAACCGCATCGAGAAGCAATTAGAGCGCTTCAACACTAAATTAAATGAAGCGATAAAAGCCATAAACCAGATGCAGAAATGGTATAAAACAATAGACGAAAACAGACTAAATATTCACATCTTAAGTACATATCAAACAGCAGTGAATCTAGTAACAGAAGTACACAATCACTACAGCAAAATAAGAAACATCCACTACAACCAAGGGAACTTTCAAGAACTTATATCAGAAACCCACATCAGAAGTATTATTACATCGGCAGAGCAGAAATTACCAAGCATCCTCAAGATTTTACCACATCCAATAATCAAAGTAACTACAAAACAAACAGTGGAAGTGATTCATGTGTTCGGGTTTTTTCTGGTGGCAGAGATCACGGTATACGTGATTATGAAAGTCACCCCAATTCCTATAAAAATTGAAAATTCTACGTTTTGGACCTTAAATGTCAATGAAGAAATGCTAGCTGTGGACTACAACAATCAACTATATTTCGAAATATCAAATGGCGGTCCACAACATCACAGTCCATTATTACAAGCACGACAACTACCTTACTCATTGCAATTATCTTGGCACTCGTCCTAGGAATAAGATTCTACATCCAGCACAGAAACAAATCACATACCAAGGACAACGATCACGAAGCAGTTCAGTTAGAACCATTATATTCAACTATTCCCGGGGAAACACAAAACTAAAAGATAGATTAGGGCGCGGCTGGCAGAATGTTTAATATCACCATTAAACAGGAAAGGGCGCTGGCCAAATATTAGAGAAATAGTTAATTGGGAAAGAAAGTAGGATTAAGAAATAAAATTACATTGCATTATTTGTAAATGAGGACAATTTGCACACAACATTGACTAGGTTAGTTTTCAATTTGCAATTAACAGATTGCAATTAATTTGCCAATTGTTGTATAAAATTTTGTATATAAACAACGTAAAATGTAGAATAAATTACTATTGACACAAAAGTCGTTTAGTCACTCTACGTGAGCACGGGGCTTCCAAGTCTTTAAAATTCGGTGCATGAGACTGTGTACCACCCTGTGCTTACACTAAATAATATTGGGAGTAATCTCAATATTGTTCATTGTTATTTTGTGTTATTTATAGCAGGTAGTAATTTTTGCATTTCTTTATATCGTATTGGTGTTTTGTATGCCGCATTTTATATTTTTTGGGTGTTTCAAACTTTGTTTTTGAAATTTACTTGGTTTAATCGCAATGCAGAATCATATGTGTGATACCGTTATGCTATTTGTAATTGTTTACGTTTTTGGTGTAATGCTTGCTTAATTTATGTTTATTGATGTTGATTACTTGGTCTTGTCCCTGAAGTAACATTCATGTAAGTTTTGATAATTTTATTTTAATATGTGGAAATTACCGATCCGTTTGATGTATGTACTGACTTGTTGTTTGTTACTAACAATTTTCTCCGTGAATGAAGCAGTCACGGGGGTGGTAAAATGTGTGGTCAAAATTGAGCTACGACACCTAATTCCGTGATTGTCTTCGAAATTCAACTGTAGGCTCGAAACCCCGAAACCAGAGGCGGGTTACCTATCTTGCAGGAGCGGGATTACGCTAATCAAAGCTCTTCAGTTTAGAATCTATGTGCGATAAATGAGTGACGATTCGATAATTTCCACATATCTTGTTCTTAGTTAAATTTGCCTACAAGGCCATGTAATTTTCCATCTTGCTTGTGACAAAATGACTTTATTGCATCAAAGATGAGTCACATCCTGTGTATTTCACCCTTTCTTAGAATCTTGGTACCTGCTTACCTGACCCATAATTCCCAAAACTTGTTTTTAACCTATATAACTTGAAGTTTACCTGCTACTTCTTGCCATGTTATAATTTTATGTTACGCATTCACATAATTACAAACAATTAATTTTACAACACAATTTGATATTAATTTGACGGGTGCTTTTTTTATTGGTTTATTGGTTCTTTTTTTTCCAGCCTATTTCTATTGTTGTTCGGTGAACTACCATTTATTTTTGCAATGTAATTTATTATGGACTTGGACTTAAATTTCCGAGCTTTTACAATCTTAATAATTGCGATCATTATTAAACAAACTTTTCACAATTTCAGTGTTTTATTTAACCTTCCCTTCCCTACTGTGCTTCAAGTGTTCAGATGTTTGATCACGTGCCACGTTTCAAATTTAAGCGGGATCTTAATTAGTTTTGGAGGGAATAGTCATTCGGGTGGTCATTTGTAAACGTTGTCGGGTTGACTTTATTTCTGTGTTCTTATAGTGTGAAGTTAGCGTAGAACCTGGGGGTTAAGTACACTACACTACACCTGCTATTTTTTACTCGTAAGCACATGTTTAATCAACGCGGTCCGACTGATGATATCGTTCGACATCGTCCAATCGCTCGAAAAGCGACAGAAAATATTACACGAGTTTTTTAAAGAAGAATCTACAAGTCTACACCCTTTGTCAAGCAAATGCATAACAAATAGGTATATAGATTGACATATAATTTTGATTGACGTGTATATTTTACACATTTTACCTTAAACTGTGTTTATTTTAATTTATAATTTCCAAAAAATGCACCGAAAAAGTTTAAGCGGAGCTTGCTATCCATGGTAACGATTATTGGGACAATGGATTTTAAGCTCAGCTCAGCTTAAACTTTTTCGGTGCATACGGCATTTTATTATTCGACAGTTATAAATCAATACCCCGGCTAACCTTTCATTTTGTTACGCCACTGAACAGTACCAGAATAAATCAAAATACGTGGCGTCCTCTGCCGGATTTACAATCGCAACCGTAAGCAACTATAGTAGGCCGCGTATGTAAAAGATAAAGACAGAAGTAGAACAATGAGAAATGCATATGGCGTCCGTTTTCTATTTTTTGCACTTTTGCTTCAGAAATACTGTTTACGCAGTTTACAGTGCGAGTATTCGCATTATTTATTAATTTTACGTTAACAAACCGCACCGACGTCGAAACCCGTTGTATATACAAGAATAATCGTTAAAATAAAATCGTTTTTCGTGAGTACGTATGTTGAAACTTTTTTAATTTGTGAATGAAGAAAACTATCTGTGATATTACTATTAGTTAAAGTAACAACAAAATAAATCGCTTTGTTATTTATGAATTTTGAATATTTACAACTTAAATTGCGAGTCTGACAATTTACTTAAAAAATTTTACGTAAGTTAACCAAGTATGGTACGGTATGGTATTCTTTATTAAATGCAAGTATCCTAGTGCGATGTCTGTGTCAACAACAACAACAACACCTTCAGCTGCGGCGGCCACGACGTTCGCGGACGATGAGACCCAAAAGATAGATCAGGTTCCAGCTAAAGATAGTGAGTATTTGTTCCCCTTTTATTTTTGAGGCGCAGGTCCCGCGCCATGTTGGGGGGACTTTTTTGCGCAATTTTTTCAATTTTCGAAATTCCCGACCTGTCCATTTTGTTCACCTTCAAGTTCGCGCTGCACCATTTTTACCTCTCAAAACTGATAACTCAATTTTTAACTTTTCGTCGTTTTTAAGTGTCGTACCTCGTTTAGTTTTCGTTGTTCGCACCTCCCCTCTCTGTTTTTTGTTTTACGCGCCGCCACGTGCTCCACGCAAAACATGGGCCGTTCTAGAAGCACGAGCCTGAAATCGACCGGTAACGGTTTGTTGAGTAGACGCCGAAATCGGCGTTCGGAGACGTTGCACGTGTCGTGGAGTAGGACGACGGAGAGTGTCGCTACGTGTAGGTGCTAATCGTTTGGTTTTAGGGGACGAGCAGATGGACGGATTGAGTTTGTCATTGAATGTGGACGCGACGGAATTAAATGATCCGGCGATTCTCGCCGTTAAACCCGGACAACCCGTGTATCGATACACGCGCGAGGAGTTGATGCAACTGCGACAGGTTCCGCTGTCTCAGAAGCGACCCGAGCACCTATGCAATACGTTTAATAAGTAAGTCCGTGCGCTTCGGAGGTCGACTACTGTAAATTTCTGAATTGTTTACAGCCCTAACGGATTTTGGGACCCCGAGTTATGGCATCGAAACACAGTCGATACTCTTCTAGGTCCGGAACCTCTCGACATTCACAAGGTAAGGAAGCCGTTTTTAGCCGACGGCGTAGAGTAAATAACACTCGAAATAACATTTAGAGATGCCACGGGATAGGGAATGTTGGTTTATGACAATTATGCCCATGCAGTGCTGCCAGGGCCGGCTTTAGGCGTAAGCGGTGTAACCTAGCGCTTACGTCGCAGACGAGAGGGGCGCAAAAATTACTCATTTTTTACAGACGTAAAAATCCGTACACGGGAAGCATATTTATAAAAAGCAGACGTGTTATCCCTTCGGAAAACTCTGTAGCATTTTTGTACAGCTTTGTTTTTCAAAAAAATATGAGAACACATAAACCTACAAATAGGTAACCTATTGTTCAATTCCGCTGAATTGGAATTAGCGGGACATTACCTGATATAGGCGGTACGAAGTTCGCTAGTAATAAATGAACCTCTATACAGGGTGTTAATTAATGTCATGCAGATATTTCAGGAGGTGATCGTGATACTCGTCGACGTCCCAATAAGAAAAATGCAAATATATGCATGGCCTAAAAGCCGTCGTTTTCGTTAGACGGGGTGATAAAGAAAATGCAACACCCTGTGTATTGCGACCAACTATTTTGATACTTTATTGTAATGATTCTAAAAACAAATTGATCTATCAAATTTGAAACAATTATCCCAGAACATAAGGGAGAAAACGCAAAATACGAGAACAGAATTGAAACCTTGCCACCCTGTATAACAAAAATGGCGTCCTTTAGATCACGCACATACTTTCATTTTTTTTATTATTTTGACGAGCGCTGCCACCCACTGAAATATCTGCATGGCATTAATTAACAACCACAGATGTTTCTAGTAAAGACAAGCATATCGCATATTGTAAAAATCAGATGTGCGCATGCGCAAACTACGCAATGTCAACTTTATTATTTATAGATTTTTTTTAATTTTAACGAGAGATTCTTCTAGTAAAGGCAAACATATCGCATACTTTAAACATCAGGTGGTGCATGTGCAGACTACGCAATTTTAAGTTTCTTATTTATAAGAATATTTACGCCATAACTTACTTTCCTTTGTACAGGGTGACCAAATAAGAATGCGAGGTACTGTATCTGGGAACCTGTCCATCGTAGAGGCTTGCGGTAAAAAAAAGGTATTACTAAAACGGCCACGAGAAAAACCTGGAAAATATTTTTAAGTTTCTGAAATGGCCGCTAGGGGGCGTAACTGCAATCTGGAATCTAAAAAAGTGATTTTTCTGTGAATTCCGCTATATTAACCTAACAAAAAAATGTCCGGTCTTTGAAGTTGACGATAATCTGAACAATTTTTGTTTGACAATTTTTCCTGTACCTATCTCTAAAAATGAAGTGGGGGGTATTTAAAGGTTTCCGCAAAGAACACCCTGTATCTTCGAAACGGGCTGAGCCGATTTAAACAAATTCGGGTTAGTTCAAAAGAGCTATTCTTCAGCTACAAATATTATACTATTTGAAGTTTTGTTAGTTTCACATATCACCGCTTGAGGGCTTTTCGACATTCGACATTGCATTGGTTCGACATGAAAAAGTAGCTAAATGATGCCTAAACAAGTTCGCGAAAACAGCATCTCGATATCTTGAGATATATATATATATATTTTTATATCGTGATGGCCAGCATTTCGAGCATTTACGGCGGCATTAAAAGCTTCCTTTTTTAAATCGATCCACCTTAGGGCCACAAATTATATAATAAAAATAATTCCGGAAAAATTAGCTTAAAAAAATAAAATTTTGAGGGTATAAAATTTTCTTTGGCCTAAATTTTAGGTTAGGAACAAGATATCGAGATGCGGTTTTCGCGAGCTTGTTTAGGCATCATTTAGCTACTTTTTCATAAAAAAAATCGAACCAACGCATTTAATTTTTTTGAAAATTAACCATTTCTGTCCGAATGTCGAAAAAAGCCCTCAAGCGGCGATATGTGAAACTAACAAAACTTCAAATAGTATAATATTTGTAGCCGAAGAATAACTCTTTTCAATTAACTCGAGTTTGTTAAAATCGGCTCAGTCGTTTCCAAGATACAGGGTGTTCTTTACGGAAACCTTTGAATACCCCCCACCACTTCATTTTTAGAGATACAGGAAAAATTGTCAAACAAAAAAGGTTCAGATTATCGTCGTCTTCAAAGACCGGACATTTTTTTGTTAGGTTCTGTTAGCGGAATTCACAGAAAAATCACTTTTTTAAATTCCAGATTGCAGTTACGCCCCCTAGCGGCCATTGCAGAAACTTAAAAATATTTTCCAGGTTTTTCTCGTGGCCGTTTTAGTAATAAATTTTTTGACCGCAAGCCTCTACGATGGACAGGTTCCCAGATACAGTACCTCGCATTTGTATTTGGCCACCCTGTACACACTAATACTACATTATTGTACATATTTTGTCCATCCGAAAATAGGTAAGGTGTGTGGGCCCTGGGATCTTAGACTATATAGAATATTTATATGATCTAAGCTTTAAGACCAATATTAGCGCCATCTGTAATTTTCCTTCTCACTTCAAAATGGTAATCTAGAGGCATTAAGTTCCCCCACCACTCTGGCAGCGCGCTCTTAACTACCTGTGGTCTATTGGTAGTACAGGCCACCACATGTATTATTGTGGTATTACTAACATCTTTGAAGTTCTTAAGGTATTACTAACATTACAAAAAAAAACGTCACGTAATGTGCAATGCGCATTGAGATTTCTTGTGAGTGATTTCCCCCTCGGCTATAGCACGGTTAAACCTAACCATTTTTTAACGCCAGGTTTCATCTGCGAGCGAAAGCGAAAAGAAAGAGGCAGCGCAATTACGTGCAGCTCTTGAACAACAAATGGACCAATTGCGAGATGTCCATCAAAAACAGGTGGCGGCGCTTCGTGACGAGATTGCCGAGAAACAACAACTTATCAACGATATCAAAGAGTGAGTACTGCGACTCTAAGCAAGAAAGTGCGAAATTTTTTTGTTTTTGAGTTGAATGGATTTTTGGATTTGTGCTACCCAAAAATTCATTCAAACAATTAAATTCAAAAACTCAAAAAAGTGCTAAAACCTAACCTGTATATTTCCCTTTCAGCTCGAACCAAAAGCTAATGCTAACGCAACAGCAATTGCAATCCGACTATGAGAAGGTCAAGGCGGAAGAAACGGATAAGTCCAACAAATTGCAGGAACTCATGTCAGTAGATAAATTAAAATATAAACGCTCAATCCTTTCTTCCAATACCACTCCCAACAACAACATCACCACAAACTACTCGCCCTCGCCCATTCGCATAAAACCCTCCAAAGTCGAAACGTGGGCGCAATTTGTGCCCTACAAAGACGAATGCGCGAAAGAAATCGCGACGCCGAAAAGTATTAAAAAATCTCAAAAAAACGAAATTAACCGGCTAGCGAAGTTGGTAGCTAACGGACAATTTACCGTGTCGATATTTCACATTCACACGTTTCACTTGCATTTATTTATTTCTTTGACACTACTTCTAGTCACACACAAGTGCCCTACGTATATCATTGTCGACTAAAGCGCGAATTTATTTACTCTTTCATACTGAAAGATCGTTTCTGTTTATTTTGCCACGTTATTGCGGTACCCAGTGTAAGTATTATACAACCCCCGTTTCCTTCTAGTCGTCCTGTGATATTTTTTTTATATTTATTTAATGTCGCATCACACCACGGTTTGGTTAAGTTTTATTTACAAACAGTCAGGAGAGATGCTACGAACTGTGATTTAGAAACAATGGCACCTTTTGTTTTACGCTTTGTTTATAGTTTGTACAAAATTGTACAGTGTATAGATGTTACGGTTGCAAATTTTAATGATTGTTAATGCAAAAGATTTGCTATATTTTTAGAGTAATTGTAAACTGTAAGCGGTTTCAAATTAGGAAAAAGAGATGCTTCTGAATCAAAAATAGTTGTAAAGCTGTTGTAAAGTGTATAATAGAGAGATATTTAAGATGAATTGGTTTAATTCCCTTTCTGTTTTTTTTTTACCTACGCGCGACGTACAAAAATAAAGCCTAACCAAAATCCGTGAGCGTGATGTGGTATGATGCTCAACTGAATGTCTTCTGCAGTTCTACTAACGAGCGTCGTGAACAAGCGCGAAAGGATCTCAAGGGGCTCGAAGATACAGTTGCTAAAGAACTTCAGACTTTACATAATCTCCGTAAACTGTTCGTGCAAGATTTACAGGTAAAATGCTTTGCTCACTTACGCGAGTGCCTCTGATACAATGCTATTTTCAGGCCCGAATTAAAAAAGCTATCACTTCCGACGATAACGAAGAGGACGGAGGATCTTTGGCGCAGAAGCAGAAAATCTCATTCTTAGAAAATAATTTAGATCAACTCACGAAGGTGCACAAACAGTTGGTGCGCGACAACGCCGATTTGCGGTGCGAGCTACCAAAGTTGGAGAAACGTCTGCGCGCCACGATGGAACGTGTCAAAGCTCTCGAATCCGCACTGAAGGAAGCCAAAGAGGGTGCTATGCGCGATCGTAAAAGGTGAACGTTAGCGTCGGTTTGAGGTGGAACTGATTTTTGACATTTTGCCAGGTATCAATACGAGGTGGACCGTATTAAGGAGGCGGTCCGACAGAAGAACCTCGCGAGGCGTGGTCCTGTTGCTCAAATTGCGAAACCGATCCGTGCCGGTCAACAGCATCACGCCATTATCGGTGGTACTAATGCAGTTCGTCCTATGGCCAAAGTTATTAATAGCGACGATGGTCAAAAACGCAAATCTATTATTGCCACTGGAAATAAAGGTGAATGGTACAGTATTTTTTTTTTCGCAAGTTGGCACAGTTTATTACTTTAGTGTCACTTTATGTTTGCAACGTTGCCATGTGTGCAGTGACCTAATATGAATTGACTGGATATACAATGCTTTATTTTAACGTTAAAATCTTGTGACTTTGGTTCTCACTTACTCACTATTCTGTTGGTTAGGAAGTTTCAGAATATTTATTAGGTAGCCATTTTAAAGTTTCTTAGTCCATCTGGTGTCTTCAACGTGATATTTTCACTATTAGAAATTAATCCACTACCTATGAGGCCAAAGATATCGTGCTCGATAGCAACTCTATTGTCCAGCCAATAAATAAAATTAATAAACAAAATAAAAATAATTTCAAAACCAGTAATGGTCAAATTTGGATATTGTGTTCCATTAACTGAGTATGTATGAGGCAAAACTGTGATTGATTCGAACTTCCTTTAAATAAAGCTAGAAAATTGACCTTTATTAAAGGTCCATGTTGTACGAGCAGGTCCATATATTAAAAGTACTACACGTTCAGAGATTATTTGTTTTCACAAACTGTTGTAGGAACAATTTTTTGAAATATTATGTACAACTTGGACCTATTTCAAGATGCAAAAAATTTTGAGTTGTTTTGAGCCAATTCCCATTATACAGATTTTAGGTGCAATTTGAAAAATTGAAGTTTTTGACATTTTTACTTCCTAATTTTGAAAAATCGCAGCGACCTTGGAAAACTTTTTTAAGACCTTCAGTGGTCACTAAAAAAATTCCTTACACTTTAAGGATTAGAGTATAAAAAAGAGGGCTCGTTTATCTTGAACGGTTTAAGGCATCTCAAAATTTTGAGAGAAAAATTGACATATCAAAAGCTATAAAAGATAGGTACTTAAAAATTAATTGCGTTGATTCAGAATAAAATGGCGCATTTAGAAAAAAATAGAAAATGGTATGTTTCTATTTAAATAAAATCAAGATGGCGTCACTTCCGGTATTACGTAAACGGCGCCATCTAGAAATTATTTTATTTCAATAGTCGATTATGGTTGTTAACCAAATTTCAAGCTTGTATTTCAACTGCAAGTTTAAAAACTTGTAACGAACAAGTTACGTGAATCACCCTGTATACAGACCATTCTATTTAATACTTTTTAGTTTGAAATATGCGGACATCCCCATACTTAATTGTTTCTCTGAATTGACCATCACAATAATTGTGAGTAAAAATACTTCATATTTAATAATTCTTTGGCTTGTGACTTCTTCCCATTTCTAGGAAGTCGAGGGCTGAAGCTCTGGGTGCATTTTACACATTTTTTCCATGAATCTAACAGTCGTCTATATAAATATATATAAATTTGGCCTACATATTTGCAAAAAAGTTAAAGGGGGGAATTAATATTAGTGACTTAGGGTTATAGCACATTTCCTTTCGAATCATTTAATGGTGTTGAATTCTGGATTGATATAATTGGAACAACCCCTCCTAGATTTAGCTTTGTTGTGTGAGTTCGTGAAAACAAAAAAGCTCTCGGAAAAACAGTACTGGAATAAGACGTGTTCTTAACTCTTGATATTTTTCCAGATGAGTGCTGAAACAACTATCCGAAGCTGAAATGGTGCATTAATTAGAAGTAGTGAAGGAACTTGAAAAAAAAGTAATACCAAATATATTACTACTAATACGGCTGCGTTTTAAGTTTTTTTATGCAAACTTCCCCGGCAGTTATTAAAAATGAACGCCCGGCTAATTTTGCGTAAAGACACTTATTTATACGTGCTTACTCGCTTATTTTATTCTAGTATAAGGTGCACTTTTCAACTATGTTTCCTAAGCAGATTGCTCTCATTAAAATGTTGAGCAGTTAGCTTCGAAAATATTTTTAAAGTTAAACGCTGTTGTTGTCACCACATCATAGATGTAGCAGGGGTCTTAAATCGGTTTCTTTTTTATAAAGCTTATGTGGTTGTACAGTAATCGATGGTATAACTGATATTTTACTACTTTACTGTGTTATTTATTGGCAGTGGTGTACAATAATTGTTGGAATTACAAGTGCAATGTATTTATTGAGATAAAAGGAGACACTTTCCAGTGAATTTGCACCGAGTTAGTGCTTGTTATGAAATGTCGCCACGTCTATACCCCAGTACTTTTCTTTTCTTTGAGCAAAACTGACAATAGATTAATGGGTGAAATGCGCACGGACCGATACTGGAAAATGGATCTATTAGTAGTAGCAAAGCACTCTTTAGTTAAATTAATACAACACTAGTATAATTTTCTAGTAAATTTATATTTTCCTACTAAAGTACGTCTTTCTTCCTTTGTACAGTAGCTAAATTATTTTCGATTTATTTATATTTGATTGTATAAATTATGTGCTTTTTAATTTTATTAAATATTTTGTGTTACGTTTGTTTTGTTTTATTTGTTCTTGTTCTGCATCAATTAAGTGAGGGCCGACTTGACGCACGAGTAAGTTAGGCAGCTGCAATACACTTCAATAACATCTGTTGTAAGTGCAAAGGGTGTTCTTGAAGGATTTGATGTAGTTAGAATTATGTTTCTGAATTTGACAAGTGGAGGATGGCATTGTGTAATGTAATTATAAGTATACATTTTGCTTCAGTTGGTATTGCAATTTATGAAATGAAATTATATTGTAATAAAGTGAAATAACAAGGAGTTGGTTTGATATTTCTGTTAAATTTTTTAGATTGTGACTGCTGGGCTTCCAAGTTCATACAGATTTCTCAATAGAAGGGATTGTTTTTACTTAATTATAGCTGTTCTTTTTGAGTTTCTCAATTACTTTATAGTTTATTTTATCACTACCGGGTAAGTATAAACAATATAGGTATAAATGAAAAATTTATATTTTACAAGAAGAAAGAGGATATTTTGAATAGTACGAAAGTCTTTTGTTTCTAGCGTCATTGATTATGTGCACCATCTGCACTGTGCGTTTTATAGGCATCTAATTTTTTCACAACCGTGTATATTTATTTATTTATTTATTGTCCCTCTTGTTCTAGGCCCTCAACAGGCTTACGCCCAATTACAGAGTGACCCGCATAATGCTTTTTTAGAGGTGCCCCTGCAGAAGGTCTTAAGTTGTTCTATACTACTCCGGTATTTACCTTACGAATTAGGAAAACTGCAGGAAAACCTAATTCGGAGTAGCCGGCAGAATGCTCGAAACTGATCTAAGGAAATTCCCATCTCTGCCACAGATGAAAAATTCACTTCAAACCAGGTTCGAACACCCGACCTCCGGATTTATACCTCAACGCTCTATACGACTGAGCTATAATGCCGGTATGAATCAGATCTGGCAACGTCGCCTCTATTATGAAAATTTGCTTGTTAAAAGTGTGGTTAAGTTTACTTCCAAAATAGAAATTCTTAACTTGGAAAAGAGATATTTGTTAAATATTCTCTACATGTTTAATTCAGCGTGTACGAAAATAAGCTCATTTTACGCGCGTTTATGCACTACACAACCGAAGCAAACCCCGAAAGAGTTTTATAAATATCTGTTACGTGAATGCGAAAAGCTACCCGATGGTGGCCCCAGAAAGTTCTACAAAGATTCCGTAAAACAGGTGAGTTGCGGCCTGTATCACCGCTTTTAATTGTGAGCGATTGCAGAGTTTCAAACAACACGTTAATGAGAGTGATCCGGAACGTATACGCCAAATTATAGATCGTGCTTACGAAGATGCCGCGTGGATTTTAAAGAAGGTATCGTGTAACTACAACTGCGATGGTCTAACGGTTATTTTCAGTATAAAAAATGTTAAACGTTCCGTTGGCCAGTTCAGATAGCGAAGCGAGTGAGGATCAGTTTTGGAGTGCAGTTCTGCTTTATCACAATCGGCCTCATTTAGTTAACAGAAGATTGCTGGGTGTCTCTCAAGCGTTGTTTGTTAAGCTTTCATTCAGTAATCTCTCCGTGCGAAATGTCTGCGAGCTTTTTACACGGTCTGCTATACTCTATGAGGCTAGGAAATTACCTCGGCTTCTAAAGGAATTTATTAGCGTAGATTTTGTTAAGAATATCCTTGAGCCGTTTGACAAAAATGTGTCATTTGAAGACTGTAGCGAGCGTGACTTTCTGACGAAGGAGGATGGCACGTTTGTGTCTTTGCGAATTTTGTTAGCGAGACAGGTCAGCGTTGATAACTGTTTAGAAGTTGTGGTCTTCGATAAGAGAGTAAAAACTGCTACATTTATCGCCGTTTCCGAGTTCGACAGGAGAGAATTGGCGCCAAGTTTTCTTTACCAACTTGCACTTAGCTCGGGATATTTGTCGCTTTACCTACAAAGTTTTGAGGATGCCGAAAGTCGGAGTGCCGAGTGGTTGACCGAGCAACTATTTCTGAAACTAATGAAGTGGATTGACGAATACAACCCAAATGTTAACGTACAGCAATCGTTGAGTTTGGTGCCGGTGGAGGCCTTTACGTCGCTGTATCACAATTTAAAAGCTAAGTACGGGAGGAAAATTGTCAAGGTACTTTTAATGGGGTTTTTTCCGTGTCATGTCACACATTTTTAGGAATGGCCCGAAAATACTGACCCGCACAAGTTCGTGTACGAAGATCTGGCGATTGCCGCTTATCTCATTACATTGTGGAATACGATTGACGCAAATAAAAAACCGCAGTTTGTCGATTTAGGTTGCGGCAATGGGCTTTTGACTTTTATTTTGACAAAGGAAGGGTATGGTGGTACAGGTATTGATGTACGTCGTCGAAAAATCTGGGATACATTCGAGGGTGTCGATTTAAAAGTAAGGCTTGCGAGTTAATTAAAATAGTCGTTAATCGTGAATGTTTAGGAGGAAGTGATCTCGCCATCCGCCGCTTGTCTTTTCCCGCATGCGGATTGGATAATCGGAAATCATTCGGATGAGCTGACTCCTTGGATTCCGGTGATTGCGGCGAGAAGTTCGTATGGGTGCAATCTGTTTTTACTGCCTTGCTGCGCTTATGACTTTAATGGTAAGAAATACAGGCGACGAAATACGGGGGTGAGCGTCTACTGTGATTACTTGGAGTACGTGAAAAGCATCTGCGTTACTTGTGGGTTTAGCATAGCGGTCGACAAGCTTCGCATTCCATCCACTAAACGCACTTGCTTTGTTAGTTTTGGTCGCACTTATTGTGAGACAGAAATGGCGGATGCGGATAGACACGTACAAGCCATGATAGGTCAAGGCTCTGTGGAGTCGTGCTGGAACGAAGAGTTTGTAGCACGCGAGCCTAAAGAGAGGGTGCGAAATTGTACACAACTGGATAGGGGAGTAATTGCCGACATTATCAAGAAGATTACTTTACTGTTATTGGAACAACCTGAGAATTTGAAAAGATACGATGGTTGCACGTGGAATAGGGGCTCTCGGGCGCCATTGTCATTGGTAGCAAAATCGCTTGGTAAGGAAGACTTGGGGCAGTTAAAGAACGAATGCGGTGGTTTAAAGACTTTATTAAGGAATCATCGTTATATCTTTGAAGTTGCCGAGGGATGGGTTTGTTTACGCCTACCTCCAACTGCCGTGTTGACAAACTTAAAATACAAAGAAAAATTGTGTTGGTTTAATGGAAATCATCCCGATGGTTGTTTTCACAGTAGTGAAGTTTGTGCATATCGGCATTAAGTTTGCAAATAAATATTTTCTTGTTGTTTTCTTGTGATGATGGCACATTTACAGAACTTTCTTTGAATTTACAAATCTCAGAGAATTTGCCCATTTTTTTGGGAAATTTATACAGCCCCATCTGGAAGTAGGTATAAACTAATCGAACTGATACTTTACACGGCTTTCTTGGAAATGTAAGAAAGCCAAAGTGTGTAGCCTCTTTCTGTATGGTATTTGTTGGATCATCAAGGCAAATCCAACCATGGAAAATGTCTATATGGCAATATAAAGCCCTGAAATCCTATTATGTATCTAGAAATTATTCTAAAAAAAAAGGTTTTCCACCAAGGCCAGTATATAGCGCATTTACCATGCATGGATCAATAATCAGTACTTTCCAAAAGGCCATTATTTTTGTCTACAAGGTCTATGGTTACAATTTTAAAAATACTTACATCTCGTTGGCATTGCACAGTTTGCGCATGCGCACATCTGATTTTTACAATATGCAACTTGATGGCCTTGACTATAATATATACTATGATATATATATAATATATGGCCTTGATTAGAAGCATCTGTGGTTAAAATATCGAAAAATCTACAAATAAGAAAGTTAGCATGAGCGCACCTTGTGTGGTTTGCGTTTACTTGAAGCATCTGTGGTTAACATTTGAAAAACATCTCAATAAATAAGAAAGTAGACATTGCGCATGCGCACATTAATCGTCATTTTTCTTGGTCGAGGTGCCAGAGCTATAAGCTACCAAATGCAAGAAGCTAGAACGAACTAAATTTATTGCAAACTGCAGTAGTTAAGGCATCGGGCGGAGAAAGTGGTCATAATTGCACCTTCCAACATGAGTGAGACAATGCCCTAAAAATAATAAAAAGCCTGATCCAAAATTTTAAATGACACCTTGTATTTTTTTGACATTCTGAAAGAGTGTAGTTTTGTTGGTATCACTGTGTACAATAAAGACTTGTTGCAAAATGAAAAGTATAACTGATCACTTTCGACAGTAGATAAATGGAAAGCAGATTGTAACAAACCGAGTAACTTATTACAAAAAAACATCACAAATATCCATTTAAAGTTTTCGCGTTGACACCTGATATATGTATTTATGAACGAGATAAGTCTTCCCGTTCCTATGGAGCTCTGGTATATTTGTAGTAGGTATAATTAGGTAAGTTTCTTAGATGGGTGCGCAGATATTGTGCAATATGCCAAGGATCAGTCGGGCCTACCCCCAATGCCCTTCCTTGGGATACGCCACGAAAATGACGATAAAAGATTGAAGTTTTGTATCCTAAGGTAAATTAAAAGTCAAATAAGAGTCTTGCAAAAATAATTTTTTATAACACGTATTTTAAACCGTTTCTAAGGTTAATTTAAATTAAACTATGGATTGTTACATTATCCTTTATACAGGGTGGTGACTTGCGTAACGCATCATAGGGATTTCAATGTATAATACATAACATGCGTTTATTGGCTCCCCAAATTATTTTAGAGCAAAAATGTATTAAAGTTATTTGTAGAAAAAATTTTTTTACGCCAATCAACCGTATTAGTTTTCAATTTTTTTCATATAAAGATGGAAAATTGGAAAAATAAAACCCGCATCTTTTTCAATAATCTGCCATGCCATGGAATTTTCTAAATCCAAAAGATATCCAGTTATCAATTAGTAGCAGTTCGAAATGGATTTTATGATCTATTTGGTTACTGACTTATTCGAACATTTATTGTAAATTGTTACATTAGGCAAACCGTTGTTAGTAATTTGGTCTTTCTTTATGTTGAATTCGCTGTTCTAAATTAAATACCTTTTGATAGATTTTGATTTGTTTTATAGCTGTCATTCCATGGCAAGACGGATATTGGCGTAGTTTTTGTATTATAAAATTCCATGGCATCGCAGATCATTGAAAAAGATGCGGGTTTTATTTTTCCAATTTTCCGTCTATATTATGCAAAAAAAAAGAAAACTAATACGGTTGATTGACGTAAAAAAATTTTTCCTACAAAAAACCTTAATACATTTTTGCTCTAAAATAATTTGGGGAGCCAATAATCGCATGTTATGTATTTTACATTGAAATCCCTATGATGCGTTACGCAAGTCACCACCCTGTATACTATTTAAAGTAAGTTTTGTTGATTCTGTTACCATGGTTGCTACCATATATCCCTGGTTGCTACGCCAGCCTTGAGACACAATATTTTGCTCTCATGATAAAATATTAATAAAAGACGAATTGTTTATTCATACGGTGTTTAATTTATAGCTCAAAAGACTCCCTTCAGTCGCTCAGACTTAAATTGGGCATCGTCCTTTAAAGTACCTATAAAACACCTAATTATCTTAATAGCAATAGCTTTTTGTCCAGGAATTGCGTGAATCGTCGCTCAGTTGAATACTTGAATAAAACCAATACATTTAATGTGATTTATTTATGGTTTATTTGAATAAACAATTATAAAGCCTACATGAGTTGAATGGAACTAAAATACACCGTGGTTCGTTTGAACTACTTTTCAAATATTGAGTTTGTGGTTTGTCACGGATTTCAAAAGTTAAAACGAGTTGTATACTGAAAATAAGCTTTAAAGCAATTGCGAAAACAATTTGATTATAATAAACTCGGCAATATAGATTTCGATTTTTTTCGCGGTCTTCTATTCTGTGTGGCGAGAAGTGTCGCCCCCCTCCTACCCATTAGCGAAAGATCTCTGTAATATTCCTTAACCTAATTCTAAAACCTGTATTTGATCGAAAGTTGTGACGTTGATTAAAATTTATCCCAATCGTACTTGTACCCAATTACCCGTTTCATTCAATTGCACGCAATAGAAACGTGAACGTCGAAAGTTTGTTAACAAGTCGCTGCTCTCGCACTATTCGCGTAAAGACGTAGAACGTATCCGTCGTTGTCTCTAAAACAATTGAATGTGGTTCGAGATACCTGTTGATTGTGTCGTAAATTAAATCCATTTAGGTGAGTGTCTTTTTTGAATACATCGCAAACTGCGCATTTTCAAATGTGCCGGCGCGCGTTTCAAATTTGTTATGCGCGTTTTAGCAATAGACAAATGTGATTTAATTTGCGTGCGGCTGCTCGCATAAATCGTATCGAGCAAGGACAATGAAATAATTACAAATCTTGCACGTCATGTTACCTACTTTGAGAAAATAAAATTTGCTTCCCAAATTGAACCAATAATTGCACCAGTTGTAAACAAACTTTCCCCTGCGTTATTGGGTGCAATTCGATATTCAAAACGATTTATGACTTCTCAATTCAGATTTTCGTAAATTTTCATTTAAATGGGAAAACCGAGGGGAAAACAGTACCATTTACAGTCGACGCTGCCAAATCGCTATTTAAGTGGAACTTCCGCTTTGTCTTATTTTATCATTTAACTTTGAAACGTTTTGATTACGTGAACTGAATTCATCGAGATTTTATCATATTTTGTCAGGGGCCTGTGCTAAAGCGTCATTCGGTTGTAAAACACGTGTAGGTATATAATTTCAATTAAGGACAGTTTAAATGTCGCACGTAATACCTATGCAATATTAATAATTAAACACTCATTGACGATATCGAATAGACAAACATCTAATCAAATACTACAAAGTGCGATACGTTTGCATTAAAAAAATATATATTTCGTTTTTTACTAATCATAGTAATACCTACCATATGACTGGTTTCCTAATTAGGTATTCATACAACCATACAGATACATAAGTAAATTGAAAATGCAATTTTTATTTATGTCGTGATACAAGATCAAGTGAAAGTGGGCCCAAGATAGATCCTTGTGGAGCATCTGCTCTTTCGTAAGTGTATAGTCTTTTGTTATGTATTAGATATTTGCAATTAATAAATCTACAAATCATCTTGAATAATTAATCCATATTATAGGTATTATATTCCTCACTTTGTAGTACATTATAATATTATTGTGGTAATGTGTGTTTACATAGGTGCATTTACACAGTACAAAGTTTGTTTACCTATAGTGCACAATTAATCGCTATATCTGGAAGGTCATTAGATAAATCCTGGTGTGTATCGCGTAAATCGTAAATGTTCCTACTCCAGATTTTTGGGCTAGGTAACTAACCAGCGATTTTGGATATTTAAGTACTTTTGGGTACAATATTAAATGAGGTAGCATGGTGTGGGACATTGCGGTAATCCCACCTTGAGAGTTAAGGTCCATTGTTGCATCAGGATTCAGGAGGCTCAAAACGGTTGAAAGTTGTATCAAATGGAATTCGTTTTAATGTATCTCGGCGACTTCTTCCATGGCCTGTAAAAATAAAAAGCCAATCTTTTCGTAATTTTCTTGGTTTTTGTCCAGAGAGATTCTCCCATGGGGTCTGAAAAAGGTATTAGAAGGTACCTGGAACTCTCAGGACGGGCCTCTTTCTCGAGAAATGGTAGATTTGTCTTTTTTAGGTGCTTCCGTTAAAGCCTCACAGAACTCTTTGGAGAGCACTCCAGAAACCCTACAAAGTCTTTGAAGATTATGAATAAAACTGCGCTTTAGGTCTTTTCTCGCTTTCCGGAGACCTAAGAGGGCCTGGACAAGCGGTTTGATTTCAGTCTCCCAGGCATTTACCATAGCCTTAGAACTCATTTCCATTATCTTTCAGTGCCCTCCAAGAGCTGTCAGACACTTTTCCTTTTCTAACCACTTTAGGTCCTTTAAAAAACCTCGTAGGACCATTTCCAGGCCTTTCCCGAGAATATTTTAGAAACTTTCTTCAGTTTCGTCTGTTTATATGTTCACTGAATTCCTAGGAATTTTGAGAAAAAGTCATTTATACTACACATACTACAAAGTAGCCCCAAAACCTCCCCCGGATGCGCCATTTATGTTTAAAAAATAAAGTGTATTTGTGTAAATTAAGGGATGATTGTGTCATCGCAATATTTGATACACTTAGTGTCCAAACACTAAATAAAGCGTGTGTGTAGAAATTTTGTTGGCTTTATTCAATTTATTTTATGATACAGGTCATGTGAAAGTGGGCCTAAGA